TTGCAATGTTTTTCAAACACCCATTCAGTGAGTGAAGTGCAGCGAAAGGGACCGTATGTTCAGTGCACTCATCACTCCATTGCGAACTCACATACATTCAAATGAGTGGCTATTTTGCCGCCACTTTTGGCTCTCAATTTGAGTCAATGTGTGTCTATTGAACCCAATTTGACACTCAATTCACCACCAATTGGCTGAAGACTATGTTTAACCATTCATTTCAATCACATCTATACTACTAATTGTTTCATCAATTTATATGCCATTTGTTGATATATGTTACGAATGGCGAGCATATGATTTGGGCACTTGTTTTGGACTCACTTTTGGGTGACTTTCAAAACAATTGAATCCAAACTGCAATTTAGATCTAAATATTGAGATAATCAAAGAGATTGCTGTGATTTGTGGTTAAGATTTGTATGGATTGATAGGTCAGTGAAAATGAGTGACGAAAACCAAAGGTATGTTTCACTCGAGAGCAGAGCCAACAAATCAATTGAATCACTGATCCGTTTGTGGACTCATTATCACAGTTACGAGGATTTGGTGAAGCGATTGAAACCACTGAAGATAATCGTCAAGAAAATCAGTACCGAGAAGTTTGCGGAACTAAAGGTGATATCAGATCCGAACCGAATTAAAGACGAGAAACCCGTCGGAGATGTCGACGACCGCCAAGAGGAGGAGTTTGAAGTGGTTTTGGCGGACGTGGAGACCAAACCCGTTGAGCAGACACCTGAGGTATGGTTGAAATGTCTGTTGATTGTGATTAGCATTTGATGAATGGATGGTCTCTTTAGGAGCAAAAGGTTCAGTTGCTGTCGTGTTTCTTCTGCAAGGATTCGGTGACCGGTTATGCGGAAGCGTTCAGTCATTTACAACTACACATCGACTACTACCCCATCCAGTGCTCCATCTGTGATGAGGCCATCACTGACTTGATCTCATTCGTCAAACATTGCCGTAATCTTCATAAAGAGTTGGAGACCGCGAAGTACATCAAGAAATTCAACTTAAGTTGCTTCCAATGGATCCACGACTTCTTGACCAAAAATCCTCACGAGTTATTCAAAGGCAATCCTCACAAATACTGTCCGTCTTGTAATTGGATTCACTTGAGTGCAGA